GCTGACTTCCTGCCCCTGGGGCAGGGAGCTGGACTCGATGGTCTCCCTTCCAGCCCAGATGTCTATGAAATCTATAAACTGAAGTTTAAAGTAATCAGCAGATTGTCCTGACTGCACAACATGTCCTAGGGAAACAGGTCTAAGTGCTCTTGGTCCATACAGTCACAGCAGACTGGTGGATTACAAGGGGTGAGCAGGAAGACAGTGGCAAGCTCCACGAAGAAGCAAGCTGCAACCTGCCCCCACTAGGTTTCCTATCTAAGGACACTGTGGTCCTCACAAGGACATGGGTCAGATAGAAATAAAGGAATGAAGATTAGGGAAGAAAAAAACACTAAATCCCTAGACGGGAAGGCATAGATCCAGCCTTTCCCTGGGTCTGTAGAAGTCCTTCAGTGGCTATTTCTCACCATTGGGTTTCATGGGCTTTTGTGGGTGGTGTCAGAGGCAGGGAGGGTGGCTTCAAGAGGAAGTCTCACCCGCTGGCACCCTTCCACATAGAGGCCGGGCTGTGCCTATGACTCTATGACAAGACTGAGCAGCTGTGTGATTGGGAAAGAAATGCTAGTTAATTCAGTATCAGCAGAAAAGCAACCAGTATTGCTAGTATCTTGCCTGTGTTTTGAGGCTAATTAATGGCTTCATCCACGGAGCTCTTCTCCCCTGGCATTCTCATCATTGATGTTGGAGCAGTGTCAGGTTCTCTCCAGCAACATGCGCACCTTTATTGCCCCATCGGTCTGTGTGGAGGCATAGCTGAGGTCTGGAGGCAGCACACCTGCTTTCATCTCTTTGCATGCAGTCACACCGCTTCTTGGAGCAGTTCCATGAGATAAGGCAAGCTGAGGCTGGCTCTGCGTTTGGACGGGAGGCCAAGGGGAACAGCAAGGTGCTGCATGTGGTAGTGCTGGTAACTCTGACAGCAGATGCCCTATAGGGGCCAAGGAGTGGGTGGCCCCTGGGATTCCTTTTGCTCTCTGCTTGTGGTGCATTGTGGCGGAGGCCCATGGGTATTCAAAGGGTATGTCTGTTCAGCTTCCACTGAAGTGCCACTGAAGCACCCCCTTCCCATTGCTTCTGTTCCACGCATGCCAAAAATGGAAATAAGGAGGTGAAGCTCTTCCGTGGGCTTTGCTCTCAAGCACACCAGAGATAGAAATCGTGGGAGTGGGTGTGAGAAGTGCCCTCAGAGCACATTCACAGGCCCATTTCTGGGTTTGGTACATGCAAAGCAGGTGCCGGCAGACAGTGGCAGAGACTTGGCACCCTCCGGCTGCAGCTGCGGTTGCTGCGTGGGGCATGCTCAGGCTGCCCCCTCTAAATCAGCCGCTTGGGCTGGTGCCTTGCTCTCCCACCCCTAGGTCCACTACTGGCCTGGCAGGCTTGAGGGTTGTGCTTCCAAGAGTTCTGTGGAGCCAGTGAAGACATGCTCTACATTTTCTATACAGCAGTGGTTCTCAGCCTTTTTAGACTCAAAGTCCATCTCATTAGACTAAGTGCCTCCTGCCCCACCCTCCCTCTAAAGTGCCAACTCTTTGCTTTCATTTGCTTTTTTGGCTACAGATAAAACACTACAGCAATCTTCTGTTGCAAAGAACTTGGCCACAACAGGTCAGAATGTTTTTGACACTGTGGATTCCTGTTTGAAATCCCTGGGTTTATCTTCTGAATCAGGTTTGCACCCCAAAAATGCTAACATTGCATAGGACCCTTAATAGGATCTCACAGCACCTTGGTTATGAATCGCTCCTATAAGGTGTTAGGAGGTTTTTTTGTGCCTTTTGGTGTGCTGGAGGGGCCAGTATGGGCCCTTTTGGACTTGACATGGATTACAAGGCTCCCTGAAGCACAGGAGGCTGGGCTGTGAGACCCAGATGCGTCCTTCCAGTCCTATGCTTCTTAGGACTTCATTGGTAAGAGCTCTTCCCTTTGGGTTGCAGCAGCAGCAAAATGCCAGGGCACTGTGCTGACTTTCAGAAAAGAAAGATGATTAATACCAGTGGCCTAAACACTTGAGATGATTACAGATTTCAGAACACTTTGCAAGAGCAGTGGTAGTTGCCTGAAGCCCATCTCTCTTCATTTAGATTTTGCCAACCTAAATTCTCGATTTCTTGGCAGCTTCGATTTCTCTCCTAAACACTTGTGACCTCCTGTTGTCTGTTGTTAAAGTGCAAAATACAGCAGGATTTCGCCTGCAAGGTGGCTGTATTTCAGTGACAGTGAAGTGATCTCTGTGTGTACTTTCTATATCTATTTAAGTTTATAAAACTGACACTGGCTGCTGTGACCACATAACCTTTCATTTTCTGCAACCCATGAATGATTTATTCAGGCATCCAGGCGTGCTTATCTGGAATACACAGACAGATACCATATTTGGTACTAATCTAGCATCTAGCATGCAACAAATATGATCTACACCTTGTTTAAAAAAAAAAAAAAACAGAATAAAGAGTGGGGGGAAAGGGGAAATGCAGCTATTACCATATTTCCTATTTCGTCGCTTAAGGCATTCACTCCTTCCCCCCACACCCCCAGTTTCCAGCAGCTGATTTTTTAAAAATTTTTTTTGGAGAACAGTGTGTGGTATAGGTGAAAAAAATATGATATATAATCTAAGCACCACTTCTTTGAACTACTGTTGTGGTTTTCTTGGAGATGCTGTTCAGAAACTGCTCAAGTGTTTCCTTGGTATCTTTCTCAGTCTTATAAATCTTTACCCTCTTCCTGTATTGGCCTGCATTTAGCCATTGCATGAGCAGAGCAAAAAAGGAACTGTGAAACAATGGAAAAATTACCAGTGTGGTTTGGCTTCTTCCCTTGTTTAGTTCAAAAAGAATGTCTACGTTTTGTTTCTGACATCTAGCTGCAAAAGCAGATACACGTCTCTTCAAGAGAAAGTCTATAAGCCTTGGCTGATGTTCCAAAGCAAGCAGGTCAGATGGTCAGAAATATCAACTGTTGAGTCTCAAGAAGCCCAGTGATTTAAGAAGTAAACTCACTCCATCATCCGTACACATTTGAAAGATTAAATATCATGGTGTCTTTTTTTCTGTCCCCCACGCAGTCTTCTCTGGTGTTGCAATAAAAGTGTCTGTCACTGCAAACAACGTAACTCCTGGAACATATTAACTATGAGGAACCCCAGTTAAAATGTTTCTGTGGATGAAATAATTCCTGATTACAACCTTGTAGATCCTGCGAAACATGGTAGTTTTAGAGACTTTTGGATTTTTGTGCTAAAGGGCCTAGATTGTTATAAGGCATTTATGGGGGCTTTGTGTCTTGTGATGAGTAGGGGGATTTTCAAGGCATTTTCTCAACATCTGTGTATTGTTTCCTAAATGCCCTGTGTAATAGGTAGGTGTTAGCAGCTCCATTTTAAATAGGGGGGAGCTGAGGCATACTGCAGGCATGTGAGCTTGGTACTAGGCATCTTAGGACTTCAAAATTTTCAAAGCAAAATTGACCCTGTTAGCTTAAAGTGGACATGGGACAGTCTCTGACAATGCAGTATTATTTGAGACACATTATTAGAGAGCAGAAGTCATTAGGAACCAGGGACTTGGATGCAAGAAGCTGTGACATATGGCTGGTCATTCCAGACCTAATTTCTGGAGCCAACTACCTATTCCCCAAGGAGCAGTAAGCCCTGGGCCTCCTCTATAATCCAGCTCCTAGAAGGACCAGTAGAAAACCCTGGAAGGAATCTCACAGATATTTCATCTTTCCAGTTTCCCCTTGTGCATTTTGTCATGGAAATCGGGTAAGCTGTCCACATCATATCCCTCTCTTTTATACAGATCAAGGGCAGGGAGTGGTTTAGATCACCCTGACCCATTACATACACAGCTTTTCCGGTACATGCAGTGCTTAAAAACCAGGTCCTTGTCCTTTGTTTCCTGAGGGGAGTCTTGCACATCTAATAATACTTATAAGCAACACTAAGCACTTACATAGGCTTCACACCTTCTGAATACCGTACTCCCATCAGTTGATCTCTTATACCACCCATATAAGCAAGTAGTATAATTAGGGTAGGTGGAAAGCTATTATTATTAGCCCTGGACATCTGGCAACCCTTCACCTACATCACCAGCTGCCACATATTCAGTTACCGCCTTCCTCTTTTGTAAAGGAAGTTGTCTTCAGCAGACTGAGGCTCTTAACTTCTCTGGCAAGCAGGTCAGATGGTCAGAACTAACAATTGCTGAGTCTCAAAAAACCCAGTGATTCAAGAAATAAACTTACTTCATTGTAAACACCCTTACACATTTGAAAGATTAAATATCATGGTGTCCTTCACAGTCTCCTAAAAAATCATGGCCACTGTGCCATCTAACGAAGTTAATATGGAGATGATTGAGAAGAGGATGCTCTAATCCCTGTGTGAATTAGATGTTGGCCTTATCTACTCTAGGCAGCTTCTGCAAGGCTAAGTATAGACAGTCAAAAAGCCTGAGGCTGATTGATTCAGTCTTTGCAAGTAAGTCAAAGCTGCAAAGATTCAATCAATAAGCAAATGAACAGACATTCACTTTTGAGTCAACAAATGCAGCTACATGGCTGCAGTGGCTCAAGCTACAAGCTGGGTGGTGCTACAGCATAGCTCTCTGGCATGTAGCCAGCATGGGCTGTGTGCTCCTTTCCTCTTCCTGCTGTCCCCTGAGGACTCTGGGATTTGCAGTCCACAATCACAGCAGCCAGACCCAGCCAGGGCTGCTCATCACTTCCTCTTCCTGCTTCCAGGTATGTCTGAGATGTGTAGTCCACAGTCGGTGCCAGCACTAAGCCAGCAGGGCAGGGTGGCTCCGTACTCAGGGAAAGGGAAATTTATCCCTCCTTCCTGGCCCTAGACCCCAGCAGGGGTTTGCCTGGGGGGCCAGTGAGCCAGTCCTCACTGCTGTGGCTAGGGAGCAGAGGGATGGGGCCAGCCCTGCTCTCTGGAGCAGACAGCGCAGCCCAACCCAGGGCAGGAAAATACTGGGATGCTGGGGGACTCAGATTTAACTTGAACCAGGAAGGGGTCTAGGACAGAAGTTTCATAAACCAGTTTAACTTAAATCAGTTAAGTCCAATACTACATTGAACCAAGTTCATCTTAAACCAGTTTTAGTCAGTCATTTTGAAACTGGTTTATGTGCACTGAATTCGTGTTCTGTTACAGGTTTAAACCTGTTTCTGATCACTTAAGCCAGTTTATGTGTAACTTCTGGCCCTAACCCAAGAGGGAAGCTAACAAAGTGCGTAAACACTGGTGTGGTTCCTAGCAGATCTGTACGACTGCCCTTAATCAGTCGTGCTGGCAGGATGCCTTGAGCTGCACAGCTTCTAAAGAGACTGGTAGCTGGCAGAAGGTGCCGGCATGCCTTACACATCTTCTGCCAGCTGCTGGGCAGTGCCAGAAGTTTTTTGGTCAGAAATGAGAAAGAAGGGGTTCTTCTGCTCCACAGCAGCTTGGAGTGCAGACATGCACATGGTGTTGCTAGCAGAACTACATGGTGTAGACCAGGCCTTACTCTGGTAGCTGTTGTTTAGCTTTGTGCTCAAATCAGTGCAGTTCAATGGTATCAGAATCTCCTGAGTTTCTGGGTTTGAAACTTAGGTCCAAAATGTTGGAACTCACACAAATAGTTGGTGTTCTTATATTGCCACCCTTTTGTGCCAGAACCTGGTGCAAACTCTTTTGTTTCTGACACCCCCCCGCCCCCCAAAATGGGCCCTCTGTTACTTGGGATCTGATAGGGAACCACAAATATGTTGGTGGGTTTGGAGGTTGGTATCTGTATCCAAATTAAACCATTTTCCCCAAATTTGAGTGGGTTGACATTTGAGGTTCTCAGCTTAATCCATCTCTGGTTCCAGACAACTGGTGATAGTATAAGCAGTTGAGGTCAGTGTTCATATTGTTTGTAGGAGGAAAATGGAATGGAATTGGCATTTACACCACGGCCAGTATCCTACTGGGGCCAGTTTGCAAACAAAAATGTTAAAAAGTCATTTTTTGGGTTCACGCATCCTCTTTCCCACCCTCAAGCTGTGAAACTTAAACTGTTGGGTTTTTTTTTTTCAACTAACAAATCAGTTCTCTAAGCGTAGGTCCATAATCATGAAAGATTTTGTAAATTTGGTATGTTTTGAGCTGAGAAGCTATTAATGCAAAAGTTACTTTAGTTACTGGGTGACAACCTAACCACTGTTTCTTCTGTTCAAAGGTTTAGCAGGAAGTCGTCGAGTTTATATGAAAATAAATCTGAGACATCAAGCCTGGAGATGTCCAACAACAGGAACAGGAACTCCAGTCCCAGCACCAGACAAAAGAGAGGTAGGAGTTAGAGGTAGCAAGGAACATGACCCCCCAGCAGGTGATTTTTATATCCTTGCAGTACTAGCTGTGAAATGTAACCTGGGTTCCGTTCACGGGAAGTTGTTCAAAGGATTCAAGCACACCATTCAAATCATGGTTTTACAAAATGTCTGAGCAATACAGCTCGTTCCACTGTGATTTATTTTTCATACCAATGAAGGCAGTTTGTTGGTTGGTTGTAAATGCAGCCTCCAGAATTTGCAACCTGCATAACGGGGTGTGACTTTTGTGTCTGAGAAGTGGAATGTAAATCCGTCCATAAACACTGGCAAAACTGACTCCTCTATTTGTGGCATTGAGAGTGAATACAAACGGCATGGATTGCATTTAGATGTTTTTAAAGTCTCTGCTTCAGTGATCTACAGGGCTAGCAATAGGACGTCCTTTCTTGAAAAGATGATTTTGTTTTTACTTGACTGTGTCCTTTTTGTCCCTCTGTTGGATATCAGCCATGTTTAATTTTAAAAATGTGTAATGACTTTTAACAAATGGCTTTGCTTTATTTCAAAGGGATGCTTTTTATCACTCGCTCTCTCAGCAGCATGTGTGGTCACTTGGACGTTCCTTGTGTTTTTCATAGAGAAGTACAACAGATATATTTTATTCAGTGCAGGGCAAAGCCATTTGTTAAAAGTCATTACACATTTTTAAAATTAAACATGGCTGATATCCAACAGAGGGACAAAAAGGACACAGTCAAGTAAAAACAAAATCATCTTTTCAAGAAAGGACGTCCTATTGCTAGCCCTGTAGATCACTGAAGCAGAGACTTTAAAAACATCTAAATGCAATCCATGCCGT